CCTCCTCCCCCTCCGTCCCTCCCTCTCCCTCTCTCCGTCTGTCTCCCGAGTTCGCGGAGGGATTGCGTGTATTTTTGCCAAACGATATCGTAATCGGCACCGCTGATAACGTGGCGAAGTTTTAACGTGTAATCGAGATCCTACGTGTATGTACATACTCACAAATTAATACTCGTGTAACGGCTTCCATGTATGTTCTCCTCCACCCCACCCCATCCCCCCGAAGACGAGGAAAAAGGAACGAGAGAAAAGCCCAACCACCTGTAACGCGCGCGCGACCCGAAGAGCGAGCGTTACACGGTGAGAGACGCGACACGTGTGCGTGCAGCGGACCCGTAAGAGCAGCCTACGCAGCAAATCCAACCGTGTAATTTCCCACACTTTGTGCGCTCGCTTTTCACGCATTTGTAATTTACACGTGTTATTAGTATAATTTTATACACATAAGTGTGCGAAAACTGCAATTTCACACGTATAAGTGTGCAAAAATTACGCGGCAAATCCAAGTGTAACTTTCGCACGCACTTACGTGTGTAAAATCACGTTTTAGCATTAACACGCGTACAAATGCGTAAAAATCGACCACAAGTACAATTACACGCTTTATATAGTTACTTTTTACGCATTTGTAATTTATACGTGTTATTAGTGTAATTTTACACGCGTAACCGTGCAAAAATTACAATTTTGCACGTGTAAGTGTGCGAAAATTATACGGCAAATCCGAAGATTTCTCGACACTTATGTGTCGTAAAATCATAGTCGACGTGCGTACAAATGCGTAAAACAGTGACTACGCGTAAGATTACACACTTGGATGTGCGGCCTAAGCCATACTCGCATCCTCGGTGAAACACTGTGTCGGTCGAGTAATTTGATTTCTCGTTAGAGTAACGGAGCTAAGGCAGGGGATACCGAATGAATCCGTCGACGACCGCGCACGGGTCGATCGCGGCCGTCTCTCTCGTTGCGCGATGTTATCGAAAAGGGAGAAGCGAGTGAAAAGGAAGAAAGGAACTAGAGAAAGAGAAGGCAATTCGGGACGAGATGTGCCGCTTCCCTCTAGGAAAATGCCGCGCGCGCTTGCCAAAAAAATCAAAAATCGCTGATAGCTGCTTAACCGTTAGTATAACACGCGGTGTCCATTCGTTCGCCCGGGAAACGAGCGGCGAGCTCACATTCGCGAAGCCCGTTGTGTCGTCATCGAGGCAGCTCGATTCGAAAGACCGAAAAGACAGAGTGGCGATCGAATCTGATGCACCGAAGCATATCGACGTTTTGTACTCACCACGCGAATCAGATTATATTTTTACGTTCGAAAGGAAGATGTGCCGGACAGAATGTTCGTCTCTTCGGTGTGTGTGTGTGTGTGTGTGTGTGTAAGAGTGATTTCGAGCGATGTAAATTATTATTCGTGTCGAAACGCACCAGCGTGAGTTCTCTCTTCCTCCCTCTCTATCTCTCTCTTTTTCTTTCTCTCTTTCTCTCGACACGTCGAAACCGTCAAACGCCTCAGCGACTTGTCCTGCGGCTTTAATCCTCGATTAATCGATTATCAACTGGCGATTGTTTTCACGGTATTGCATAAATGAGACCTGGTCTTTCTATAAATTTGTACATCTTACGAGAAGATGCACTGTGTTGTTCCGTTGTAACGATCCACGAACCGGAACGATACGATTTTCACCCCGGGGTATACATATATATAAAGTTACGAGTCTCTCTCTCTCTCTCTCTCTCTATGAAAAAAACTATAAGATATATTCTTTTCTCCTTTCCGAGAAAGGAACGTCGCCCTTAGACGCGCAAGAGAATCGTGGACAAAGTTATATTGTAAATATAAATGGGTGTGTGTATGCGTGTGTATGAGTATGTGCGTGTGTGTGTATGACGGATAAATGGTTGATAAGTATAGCGAAGCGGATAGCGTATCGAACAGTCGGTGTGTACACATTTTTAGCGTATTACCAAAATTTTCGTAATTTAAACGGTCGACTCGCGCTTAAGGGACGCGCGAGTCATATGTATGTCGCATAAAATACCTTACACGAGCGAGCGAAATATTGTGTAACGCGGACAAAGATATCCCCCCAAGATAGCCATCGGCCTAGTGGCGTCCTGTCCTGTGAAATTGTCCAAAAAAAAAAGTATTGCTTGTACGATCTTAAGTTATACTGTAAATATTGTATAATCCATGTATAAACACGACTGTACTAGATATATGAAACCTATCATTGTAGTTAAATACGTTACGAATCATTATAACTATATCACTTCAACAATAAACCATTATTATAATGACGGAGCGGTGTGAGCCTTCAATTGACAATTCACGAATATAACCGTTACGTTTTTTTTTTATTTACATCGGAAGATCCTCTTTTAAAACTGATCGCTTTTAAGATGAGAAATTTGAAAATAATTGCAAGTAGATCACGTCGATTGAAATTCATACGAGAAAGTACGGCCTGTTTGTGCTTCGATGTAACAAATATTATTATAAGTGGCAAGGTGACGTTCAAATGACGTTTCAGTAACGTCTTATTGACTAATAAATAACAGATAGCGCGAATCATATTAGGATCGTAAAAAGAGGCATTTCGGCTGTTTTGCATACGAAAAATACGTATGTGACTTAAACTAATGAAAAAAAAAAAATTATTTTCAGCAAAACAAAGAGGTCTCTATGTTGTCACCGCCAAGATCAACTATCAACTAAACGTAACACGGGTTTCGCGCGAGAAGAATCGACGTATCCGCTAACTTTAACCTCCATGTGGTAACACCTCCGTCGATACGGAAATCTACGATAGGTACGTTCCTCTTCGCGTTCACCAGCAATGTGGCTCGCAAATTTATCAGCTACTGACAAGTTTACGAGATACAGATATGATTAACATGTCAATGTAAATTGTCGCTTATCCGCGTACAGATAACGTCAAAATATTCGGCTGTGCTCGTAATGCTAAAGCGCGATACTGACCCAGCGAGAAATAACTCATCGAGTCGACGTCAAATCCAACGTCGATTCGATGTAATTTCGATTGTTCCGACGTCGATTTGACATCAGTTTGACGTCTATTCGATTGTTCATCTCTTGCCACCTCCGCTGAGATTATTACTTGTGGAACTTTGCAAATTGTCTGCGATGTCATTTTAAAATTCAAAGAAACATGTTTACATTAAGTCTATAGAAATATTTAAATAACGAACATTATTGCATCAGGATATTTTACAACTTGAAACGTGCAGTTTCTATTTTTTTTCTCTTTGGGAAATACTGCCGCGATTTTTATTATTACTGGCATACTTCCAGCAAACTTATCTGCGCAGATAGGCTTATCAATCACCGTAAATTTTATCGGAAATGGTCATATCAATATAGCTTTAAGCGTGTGTTCAAATAAATACATTGAATATTTGTAATCTGCGTAAAGTAGGTTCTAGCGTCAAGTGTCATATTTCCAGGGGCGAATCAGAGGGGCCTCTGATCAATTTACTGCTTATCAAGTAAAATTTCCTTTCTATACGTTTATTTCACTAACCAAATAATAAATGTTAATTTGAAACGAATCGGTCAATAAAAAAATTCTAAACGAAACGGTCAATAAAAAAATTCTAAAATTTATCTATAATATCTGTATATTAGCCTTTAATACAATAGTTTACAATAGTTTTTTTTAAACTTCCGTCTTATATACAAATATGTCGTTAGAAGAAGTTAGAAGAAATTTGGAATTTTGTGCTGGCATACGTGCAGGTTTATAATTAAATATTTTAGAAACGATACGATAAAGATTATTGAAATTTCTGTTACGCATCATTAGTTCGATTAACTTTTGCATCATATATATATTACAGATTTATCTTATATCTGGTCAAACGCTCGGACTTCCTTAACATGAATCCGATCTGTGTCACCACTTTACAACACAATTTATCACAAATGTATTATCACAAATGTGCGTACCGCTGATATATATAATATTTCGCTCTATTTCGCGCTTCACGGTAATATTCGGTTGTGTTTCTTTTTTTCAGTTCGACGAGCATTATAGAACGGTGACGATTTAAAACTTCGCAAAAGCGAAACACGATATCTCTGGAATAAAATACCGCCTGTCAATTTCATTAACACATCGACGATGGTAATTCAGCGCTACGAGCGTTTCGCTTTTGTGTCCACTTGAAACCGAAGCATCGGCATTTCCGCGCAGTTTGCCAGTAACATCCGCGAAGAATCAATTCGCTCGGTCCGATTGGTCCATTTATAATCGTTCCGAAGATTTTCATTTCGCAGTTAATGGAATGATATCTTTTATGGGCGCGATATACTCGCGGCGCAGCGTATGTGTGCAAGGTCAAGATACACATGTGAACAACAAGCGTGATCGCGTAGTGTCGAAATTTCCTTTTGCTTTTAGCGATAAGCGTATCGATATTTAAAGAGGGCGCGCAATTGATATCTTTTCGAAGATGCTTGCATAACGTCTGTGTGTGTGTGTGTGTGTGCGCGCGTGTGTGTGTGTGGGTGTAAAATTAAGAGACACACAAATGTGCGTTTCCATGTGACTTTGCAAGATTATCGAGCACGGGTATTTTTCTTCTTCTTTCTCCTCAAACGGACACTCCATGACCTCTCGCCCTTCCCAGCATAGTAGGTACAGAATCCCCGCTTTAATTACGCGCGTTAATCACAGCGAGATAACGTAATTTTTATCATTTTCACCTCAATTTCGACCCCACTGCGATCACGCTTGTTGTTCACATGTGTATCATATCGGCCGCACAAACGCAACTTCGTACGTCGCAATATCTCGGGGCGCATTTTCAAAAGGCATTAATTCACCATCGCGCGATAACCAGAAGAAACATTTGCGGCCTACTCGCGGGATGATTTCACACGAGGAATGGAAACAACTCGCGTGCAAAAAGCGTGCTATCTCTCCCGATAGATCAATACACATGAAATGGAATATCTCGACGGAAAGTTCGCGGCGATATTTTTCCCTCTTCCTCCCTTCCCTCTTTCTCTTTCTCTTTATCTCGGTGTTTCCGAAAGAATGAAAGATACCGAGCTCCCTTCACCCGCTGTGCGTGACATTTTCCGACCGCGCGTCGTCGTGCTCGGAAGTTGGAGGAAAAACACCAAAACTGACATAGGTGCGGTCAAGCGACATACTTATGTTGTAAACCATGCCTGTCGTTTGATTTTTCGTTTTCGTTGAGTCATCCTCTTGCGAAAATTCAAGTAACAAATCAGCGGTAAGTAACTTATTTGACAATACTATTTTACACCTTTCAGATCGCTTTGAATATTGTACCAATCTTTCTATCTTCTATCATTGAACCACGGCAAGGAAAGTTAAGATTAGGTTGTTCTGTGATCCGACATATCTGAGTTCCTTATAGTCTGTTCTTTATAGCTGAACTAGTTCGAGAAATTTACGCACACTTAAAGCGTGAGAATCTTACAAGTGCGCTTCACGCGCTTCAATGTGTATGTAAATTTCTCGAACTGGTGCAGCCACTTCAGCTATAAATAAAAAAACACACAATGATCTTTTAACCTATTTAAGATATCTGAATTTTCTGTGAAATATCATTTTGCAGAATCAGTTGAAACTAGCGATGATTGATTTATCCTGTTTTTCTTGTTTCCTTGTTTAGAAAATTAAGGGATCTATTTCTACATAATAAAGGAGCGATGTACATTGCAAAATTTTTCAAATTTAAAAACAATATTAAATTAAAGGTAACATGTAAGAATATGTAATAAATATACAAAATAATATAATTTCAGCGCTTTTATTTTGTTCTTTTTTTTATAATTCCTTATAGGTATCACACGGGTATGTCGGTTTTGGTGCCTAGTTTCTAGAAGCGTTAATCCTCTTAAAAAATAGTTACTTGCAAGGAAATATGTAGTCATTTTCATAAGACTCTCATATATTTCGATGAAGAAATGCTGGTTTGCGTTCTCGCGCATAAACATGAATTTAACAGCTTCAACGGGACTTGAGAGCCCAAAAGCGAAACGGTACGGCCAGTTTTGCTCTCGGTTGGTGCTTTTCTTCAAAATTTGCCGGTCGTTCGTTAATCGCGATCTACCGGTCGGCCGACGTGATTGCGAATCGCGCGTTCGAGTGTTTCCTGGACAAGCGGACTTTCGAAAATTCGCCCCTACGCCCGTCCAGGTAGCGTTGCTACGGGGCGCACCTGCTACCCGCCGCGCTCGTCGTCGTCGCGCGCCAGAGAACAGCGCACGCTCTGCTATCGACCAGAGAACAGAGAGCGGCCTGGCTCTCCTTCCTCGTCTCTCGTCTCTTCTCATCCAGTCTCGGCTGGCCACGGTGGCCGCGCGCACTTCGCTCGAACCCCCAGCTCGCCGGCAACGCCTCGCGCGACTTCTCCAGTGGAAACAACCCCCGGCGGAGATCGGTCATCGAACGTGCTCGCGTGCGGGCGGCTGGCTGGCCCGCCGATGACGGAGCCCGACGTCGCCGGGCGCGACGATGAGACCGAGGGCGAGGGCTAGCCGGCTCGGCTAAGCCGGTCTGCCGATTTCGCTAGCCGGCTGGCTGCCGCCCTCCTCGTGTCCGTCACGCACGTTGACCTCCGTCGACGTGGCTGCGGATTCTGTACGGTGGAAACGCTGAGAGAGAGAGAAAGAGATAGAGGAAGATAGAGAGAGAGAGAGAGAAAATATCGGCTGGGTAAACGAAAGATATCTTGGGCGACCGGAAAGTGATAATAATAACGATACGCTCGTCGGGGCGAGCTTGAAGTCGCTATGAGAAGGCCCTTGGAGCTGTTATGTACGTGTTATGTGGAGAGCTGCGAGGCAGTGCGATTTGTGAGTACGTATAAGAGCGCGCACGTTGCACCAGCGAAGCTACGGTGGATGAGCGCCGAGAACAAACAGCTGTTCGAGAGTTCATCTCCGCGAGTTCACATGCGCGAGGACCGGATCGTAGTACGTATGACCTCGCCACCAGGGTTTGTTGACGTCAACGGTTTTGTATTAAAGAATTAACTGCACGTTTCCATCGGGCGGGTCGACTGTTTATTTCGGTACGATAGGGACGAAGCAGGCGAAGAGAGGTGAAGCGAGCAAATATCGAACGAGCGAGGTCGAGATCAAACATCTCGGGGGGTTTTCACGAGAACAGTCCAATGTGTTTGTTCGAGACATATACGCCGCTCACGAAGCCGGAAATGATGATTGAACTTTGTCATGCACGCGATACACTTATCGGAAACGATAGATACGTATCGATGGTCAAATACACCAGTGAAAATGTAGCTCCGATAGGTGCACGTAACTCCGCCCGTATGTGTATGCGGAATGAAGTAACTTCACTCGTGCGTGATCTACTCTCCTTGCCGGTATGAAATCCATTTCATCTCCGTGCGAATTTCGCTCGAATTTCGAATTACAATTTTGAATCACGATTACTTCTTTTCATTCCTGCACTTATGAATTATCAAGTATCACGATAAAATCAAGTTACGGCTGGGAATTCCACCGAAAGCGGTTTGAAATTAGAGAGAAAACGAATATCAAGCTCTAACGTCTATTTATATCGCGATTTTCGTTAAAGAGCAAGATCGGAGCAAGATCGGAGCGAATTAGTCGAAAGATTCGCGAAGAAAGCTCCTTCGGTGTTTCATCGGTTTCGATTGCAAGCCCGTGTAGCGCGTCGGTAAATATTAGTCAATATTTCCGTGTTCTAGTACTTATGAACAATTAAATGTTACGATAAAACTGCGTGACGAGTAAAAATTTCTTGCTGAAGTCGAGTTGAAGGAGAAGTCGAGTTGAAGTGAGAAAGAAAATGAAGTTCCACATATCAGCTATTTGTATCGCGATTTTCATTAAAAAATAAGATAGGTTGTGAATTAATCGAAGGATTCGCGAAGGAAACTTCTTCGATGTCTCATCGATTTCGATTGCAACCTTGCGCAGTGTATCGGCAAATTTAATTAATATTTCCGCATTCTCGCACTTATAAATAATCAAATGTCACGATGTAACTAAGTCACGAGTAAAAATTCCACCGAAGCCGGCTTGAAATCAGATAAGAAAGAAAATCAATCTCCACATACACACACACACACACATACACACATACACTATGTTTATATCGCGATTTTTTCGTTATACAAAGAGACCGGCTATGAATTAATCGAAAGACTCGCGGAGGGAACTTTTTCGGTGTCTCATCGATTTCGACGGCGACTTTGTGCGGCGTGTCAGCAAGCGTCAATCAATATTTCCATATTTTTGCACTCATAAATAATCAGACATCATCGAGATGCAAGGCCAAGTCACGGGCGAAAATTCCACCGAAGTCAATCGGTGAGATCGGATAAAAGAGAAAAATCAATCACTGTCTATTTATATCGCGGTTCGCCGCGGAGAAAGGGAGAATTCGGCTACGAATGAATCCGGGGGGATTCGCGAAGGAAGCTTCCTCGGCGTCGATTGCAACTCCGGCGTAGCGCTTATCGGCAGATATTGATAACTCTATCGCGCCTGTACGCCCTGTTGCGCGATTAAACGTGCCGATGATGATCGTTTCAGGAATACAACCGGCAGCGAGTGATGCGCGCCCGCCGAGGATGATGTGTGCACGCCGACGAGCGCGATTCACGATCGAGTGAATGCGGGAAGAAGAATAATCCGGAGTATCCGCGTGTATGAACCGACGCCGCTCTGATTCTAACATTAGACGCCGACGAGAGAGAGGAAGAGAGAGAGAGAGAGAGAGATTGCTTGGCGATATGACACGTGTCTTGACAGAACGACGATCTTCACGGACTAACGGTCAAGAAGCGGGGCGAGCAGTTCGATCGAGGGAAAAACACACCCGTGATATCGTAAATCAATCCGGATAATAGACAACAACGCGGGGGAGGAGATTTGCGGATGGCAGAGCAGCCTAAAATTGTCCCGGGCAAGCGCGCGCTTATCGCGTGACGACGACGACGATGACGACGCACGTGTCGAATCGTCAGATGGAAAAAGCATAAATCACTCGACGATTAAACCGAAACGCCCCTTATGCGCTGCCGCTGACATTCATTGATCGATATATCGCTGTATATACATACATAAATAATATATACACACACATATATATATATATATATATATGCTCAATATATATGTATATATATATATACACATATACGCTATCGGAACGGCTACGGTGTTCCGCAGTCAACGATCCAGAAGTCTTCCAGGTCCGCGCGACGACCGGCATCGACGGCGCCTCGTAGCCGCCGCGCTGGAGAGAGATCGTCGTCCGCGAAAACACGCTCGCCGGAAACGCTCATCGTCGCGAAATTCATGGACCACGCGAGAAACATATCACGACCACGTGGAAGAGAAATAACCACGCGCTCAAACGGCCGTTAAGACAACCAGAAACGATAACAGGATCTTCGCCGGGGCGTGCGTCTCCCTCTAGATAGACAATCATCCGGCCGAAAGGGAGAATCGCTTTCACCGCCGCCGGTGAACCTCGCACGGCTCGCCTCTCTCGTCGACGGGCTGATTCCCTGTAAATACTGCGCGTTCGATGCGTCTGTTCGGATTCGCGGCCCCGAGTGCGCGACGAACGAGACGGTGTCCGCGGGAGGACGTGAGAGCGGTGTGAGAGCCGATCGGAAAACAAAAAGAGAGAGAGAGAGAGAGACCGGAAATCACCAAAACGCGAAACGATGGAACACCGAAGGACCAAGACTGCTCAATTCCCCTGTTGGGGGATGTGACATCGGCGAGAATACAACATAAGGATACAAATAAATTACAGTTAATGTTAATCGCACGCACATTGGATCGTCCAGGGCGAGTGCGACAGATGCGCGAGTCGATATCGACGGTACACGGTCGTAATATGATATCGAAGATCTGATAATACGTTATCACGATAACGTTATCACGATAACGTAATAATAATAATAATGCGCCGGACATAATGTACATTCTGCTGGTTCAGTTCAATCTGACACGTACAAAAGCGCCGGACCTACGTAACCGCTCTGTTATGCGTGAAAATCACTTTCACGAGGAGGTAAAGTATAGATAACGAGCTTGCATCTCGCACGACTTTTTCGATACGATTTCCGGCGGGTCTCTAATTCGGCGTATCTCGGCGGTATTTCGTTTGATCAGACGCGCGCCGGAAACCATCCCCTCGCGGTCCCCGTGATCAGTGCTACGTTCGCACGCTTATCAATCGAATGCGGTGGTGTATCGCGTTACGAGAAGCATTAATCTGATCATAACGCGGTAATTACGAAATTACGATCGCATTTCCGACGACCATCGACCGCGTTCTATTTCAACGCGAGCGTTGATAATTATCAGAGGGAGAGGTGATATTACGACCCCCGCTTACAGTTTATGTTATTAGATGTGTCAATTAATTCGGTGCTTTCGGTTTAGCTCATTTCTATGTATAAGGAGCATTTTAAATCTAAATATTTTCTCGCCCAATTGCGATTTCAAACAGCTAACATCTGTGTTTTGCCAAACATGAAATCTTAAATAACGAACGAAACACTCAAATGTACGTATATTTGTGTGATATTACAAGCTTAACTAGAACGAGGAACGTACAATGAAATGCTAAAACCTTGAAGACGTTTTGAAATGCTCGAAAATAAAAATACGTTGCAACAAATACCGACTGTTGTGTGTACTGGCATTTTAGCGAAACGACGGGCTACTAAATAAATGATTCCATAAGTAATCACTATAATTTACCACCTAATATTAAGAAGGGCCATAATACCACTTCCTTCTCTATATCGTTCGAAATATCGCCGGATCGGTCGTCGATTGAATGGCCGAGTGATTGTCGCGCGGAGTATCTATCGTGTGTTGAATCCGCAAGCGAAACCTTTCGCGAATCGTCACGCGTCGAGGGAACTTCGTTCGGAAAATCAACTAAGTAAATGAAAAAGAATAGCTTCTCTCTCTCTCTCTGTCTCTTTCTCTCTCTTTCTCTGTCTCTCTGTCTCTATCTCTCTGGACAGGCGGTGTTTCGCGGCGGCAAAAAGGCCCTGAACGATGAGCGTGGATTTACCGCGACGTTAATCAAGATACAAAAAGGAGGCCTACGACTGCGGAGATGGCTAATTGGGCTGTTGATTTTTCTACTCATGTCACTTGTCGTTATCAACAGTTACAACACCGGCCAATTTCGCATCGTCCGATTCGGTGCGATGGCCCAGAGCAAAGAGAATTCCCACGGTGAGTCGCTCTTATCCGCCCCATGGGGGGAGAATAATTCAGAGAGAAATGCTAATTGTACGCTGTCGTAGCGGACATATAAATATACAGGGTGTTTCCTTAAGTGTCGTTCAATATTTTACGAGTGGATTTCTGGGGCAGTTTTATGAAAAACCCAGGTAGAACGGAGAACGACAATGACGTCGATATGACGCAAAAATGACTGTAAGACTCATTTTTCGATCATTTTCTTTTTTTTGTCGTCATTTTGACGTCGTTTTCATGTCGTCGTTATTAATACTGCCAAGCAGTAATCGTCATTTTCTGTCCAACTGTACACTAAGAGGCATCTTGTATATTTATTTCTTTCCTACGGCAGCATAAAATATTCGCCGTCTCTCTGATTTATTTTCCTCCGTAGCCGGCTTCATTTCCGGCCTCACTTCACTCTCGTTCCTGATTCCCGTTTACACTCAAACCACCCCCCTACGTTGACGGGTCTAATCGGATCGATCAATCGGTAAATTGCAGAGGATTACGTACAGCTAAAGCCGATCTACCCTTCGCCGATCGGCAATGGCGGCTTCTTGGTGCGCAACAAGGGTTGCCGGATACCCGCGATGGATCCCTTCGATCCCGCCATCAAGCGTTTCATCACCAAGGAAGAGCCACTCGTGTGCGATCACGGCAATTTGCCGCTGATCGACTCGAATAACACCGCGTTGTTCGTCAATCCGTTAGCGTGGAACGAATTTTACAACAAGTCGAAGGGCATAAGCTGTTGCTGGCGATCTTTTTGGCGCACGAAGGACCAAGACAACGCTGTCACGTGAGTGTTATACCGGCTGATTGTTTTGTATTATTTTCGCGAGCGGCTCGGACCGCATCTCGGTCTGTGTGATTTTAATCGAGTTAATTAATTTAAAAAATAAAAAATCCGAATTAATCGTACCGAATGTATGTATACGAGATATACAGGGTGTCTCGAAATTAAACCGTTCGACTGCTTATTTAAGGACAGAACAAGTGATTTTTGCTCTTACATGAAGAAATTCTATATAGTTCCGCGAAAAATATCATATTCCTATTATTCAAGAATAATTTTTACGAGTTAAGAGGGAAAAATATTGGATAGAAGAAACAATATCTCCCAAACTAAGAATTGTATCAGTTTAAAGGCATTGTTCTCTTTATATCCAATATTTGTCCCACCCAATTCATAAAAATTATTCTTGAATAACAAGAATATGATATTTTTAGCGGAATTATAAAGAATTTCAATATATAAGCAAGTTTTATCTTCATATAAAATTATATATTCTTTATATAAGAATATGTGAGTCTCTTGAATTGGTAGTAATCTTTTTCCGTCTGTTCAGTCGCAGGAACTGAGCTTCTTTTTCCGAATTAGCGACTCGTCGTTATACCGTAATATATCGAAAAAAAAAGAAAAAGGGAGGGGAAAGGAGAATTAATTGAATCGAACGTTACTTATTACTTACTTCGAGAAACGATGCAATCAGCCCCGAGGAACATCCGCAAAAAAACTGACATCCTTCCAATTAGTAACTCAAAGGTCCCTTGCGCTTGCAGATACGACAAGGAGTGCCATCCCTTCAAAGACTCCTGCACCGTGAGCGCCGAGTTCGTGAAGGTCGAGTGTTCCCGCAACAGCAAAATGATATACAAGGACTACTTCGCTTTCCTGCCACGCAAGCCCTCGGTGGAGGACAGATGCAAGCAGACGTTCAACAAAATGGACACGGAGAACGATCGGCTGAGCATCCTCGTGATCGGGCTCGACTCGGTCTCCCGGCTGAACTTCCACAGGATGATGCCGATGACGGTGAAGGCGCTCCAGTCCCTCGGCGCGGTGGAGATGCTGGGCTACACGAAGGTCGCGGACAACACGTACCCGAACCTCGTGCCGGTGCTGTCCGGGTTGAGCGCGGGGGAGCTGCTCAACCTGTGCTGGCAGAAGCCCGAAAAGACCTTCGACGACTGTCCGCTCCTATGGAAGAAGTACAGCGCGGCCGGTTACCGCACGATATTCGCCGAGGACGCTTGCAGCATGACGACCTTCAACTACCTGAAACCGGGCTTCCGCGAGCCCCCGACCGACTACTACCTGCGGCCGTATTGCATCGGCGCCGAGCACGACATCGGCAATTCCAACAAGCTGAACGCCAATCTCTGCCTCGGCGCCAGGAAGAACTTCGACTGCCTGCTGCAGTACGCCCGCAAGGCCGCCGTCGAGTTCGCCACGGAGCCGTACTTCGCCTTCATCTGGCAGGCGAGTCTCACCCACGACTACTTCACGTATCCGCAGCTGGGTGACAGCTCGTACCGCGACTTCGTCGAGCACGTGTCGCAGCAGGGCCTGCTGAACCGCACGGTCCTCGTGATGATGAGCGACCATGGGATGCGGTGGGGCGAGTTCCGGCAGACGTACCAGGGCAAGACCGAGGACCGGTTGCCCTTCGTCTTCATCGTGCTGCCCAAGTGGTGGCGGGAGAAGTACCCGTTGGCCTGGGGCAATCTCCGGAGGAACAGCCGCAGCCTCACCACGCCCTTCGACCTTCACGAGACCCTCACGGACTTTGTGAACCCGCACGTGGTGCACGAGACTTTCCTGAAGAAGCGCATTAAGGTTAGTCACGGTGTGCCATGTTTTCAGCGTTTTTTTTTTATGCAGTAGTTTATGTAACAGTTTAGTTGGTCTAATCAAAATGCATAGATAATAGACAAAGGTATATATGTATATAAAAATGCTCATATATGTGCATATATGTACGTGCATATATATGTGTATTTTTTCTTTTTTTTAGTATTACTATAAGTTATGAACTTTACATCGCTGTATTTTCAAAACAAAATGACCAGTAATTCTGACATTTTTGTGTAATATCTGTATATTAGTCCTTGATATCACAGTAGTTTTTCATTAAAATTCTAAATACGATTTAGAAAAAATTGGAAGTTAAAAATAGAACGTATCAACGTCAAGGAATGCATGTAAAAAGTACCATCTTTAGTTTCGAATAATATCTCAGCTTCCGAATGGACAATCAACTTATATAATTGCGTCAATAATTCGGTCACATTGAAATCTATGTATAGTGCGAGTATCAAGAAATTCTCAAAATACTGATTTGTGCTACCTTAAGATCCAGGCGGCTTCGCCGGTGCCGCGCGGCATCAGCTGGTTCTTACCGGTGCCGGAGCATCGTACCTGCGAAATGGCGCAGATTTCGAGTCACTGGTGCATGTGCCACTCCAGCAGCAACATCTCTCTGAACGACACCGGCCTCCAGGACAGCGTGGCCTTCCTCGTCGGCGAGCTGAACGGCATGCTGAGCAAGTACCCGCCGTGCGCGATTTTGAATCTGAAGGACATCAAGGACGCGAAGCTGTGGCTCGACAAGTCAAACGGCACCACGTTGATGGATTACACGGTGACCATACAGACCACCCCGGGCGACGCGGTCTTCGAGGGCTCGATACGCTACAGGACCGAGGACAACAGTCGCAAATTGGTCGGATCGATCAGCAGGCTAAACGCTTATGGCAAACAGAGTGCCTGCGTGGACGAGTTCAACATGCGCCTCTATTGCTACTGCCTTTAGGCACGACATATCTCATGAGTGATTAGACTGATCACCTTTTGTATATGATAATAATTTAAGTACATATCCCCGACGAAAGGGAGAGAGAGAGAGAGAGAGAGAGAGAATCCGCGGGTGCGGAGATTTAAGGAGTGAGAGGGCGAGATAGCCACATTGTACAGCGTTTTTCTTCACTCAATTATTGTAATAATTTATTATAAAATTATTATAACAATTTATTGTTATAGTTAATTGTTATAGTAATTTTATTGAATTATTTTACAAATCATCTCGCAATTTCGCGAAGGTGTCGCCGCTCTCCTGCGCAACGGCAATATTTTTGCAGTTGCGCTGCGACGTAACAACGTCGGGAATCACGCGAAGAGAATTTCGAACACACAGAAAAACATATGCCGCATTCAAATAAACGTTATACTTGTTTCAAGTATTTTATAAGTATATATATCCATGAGTATATTATAAATTCATCATAAGCATCCAATTTATTTGAAATATATTCTGAAAATATATTCTGGAAAATGTAGCACTTCAAGAATATTGAATCAAAAACTAAACTGAAATTAAACTTCGGTTTACTTATTCAAATTAACCGAATTTAACTTTTCATCAATAAAGTTTATGATATTCTAGAAAACAGAACAAATTCTTCTTTCGAGCAAATGATAATGAGCGTTTCGAATATTAGTATAATGAGTATATTTTAATACTGTTATGAAGAAAAAATATTCTTTGTTCAAGATAACCATTACTTAAAAGAAGAAAAATAAATTAAGTAATCGCTTTTTCGTCGCGGTTCTATTGTTCTTTTTCGCGGTGTAGAGTCATAAAGATCAAAGATTACGTTTCAAAGATATTATGTTTGTGAGCTTTCGTTATATCGCGAACGCCCCTTCGCACACACACACACACACACGCGCGCCCCTTCACACGCGCACACTCGTATCTTCCCGCACATATAGTTCGTCGATTGATTTTAATCGTGCGATGATAGAGATCTCTCCGCGAACGCCGCATGCATTTATTCGACGCGACGACACTTGCGTTTCATTCGGGTATAATTTATTACATCGAGATAACGACTGATACTATTAACGTGCAGGCTGCTGTCTCATACATCGATTCTTAAGAGTGTCGGTGAATTTTCAATATCTGTATAAACCGATGTGTAAACGATATATTATATCGGCGATCGATCTAGTGACCAAAAGCTCTGACTATACAAATAAAAAAGATATTTTACTATCCTTTATGAGTGTGCATTTCGTCGAAACCACCTCCTCACGATACCGCGACGTTATACAGGGTGTTGGAGAATAACCATTTACTGAGTGTATCAGAAGATTCTTGGTACGAAGGCATTTTTCACTTGTCAAAGGAAGGTATGCATTTCAGGCGATTTAGGAAAACGCGCAGAAATCGTCGGATTCATCTCTTTTCATTCAACGTCACTCGCTGGATCCGAAAATCATAGTCAAATTAGTCTTAGTATTCGGAAAAAATGTTGGGACACATTTTAAACAGAAGAAAACAACGGTTCATTTTTCACTATTTATTTTTATCACGTTGTCGAGCAAATTTCTCTCAATGTGGTTTACGATTATGTGAAAAAAAAATAATTACGAGAGGAAAGTCTGATATGACTCGCGACGAGCTACATTCGGAACCGAGCGCGTTGCGAATTGACGATCGTGACCAAACATCGCGGCACATTTCACCAGAGTACGCGAACAGCGCGATCGCGCTGCGTGGCGCTAAAACGATTATAGAGCGTTTAAGAAACAGAATACTATGAAAATAAATAACAAAGTAATTGCTACGTTCAAGTAAATATTTGCTGACGAATATCGGAGTGGTTTATTTTATTTGGATAAAGTATGAATATTACGTGAAACAACAAAAAGAAAGAAACACGTCTTATGTGTTACCAATAATCTTCCGATGCACTCCGCATGCGGTTATCCCGGGACACCTTGTATATAAAATTAATCTTTTAATAATTACTTATAGAATCATGCCATACATAGCATGATCCTTCAATCGATGCGATCGTATAAAAAATGATTCTAACATCGAGAAATAGATGAAATTACAGGGCTTACAACTTGCGGTGAAAATATCTCATAAAATTGAGATAAAATTTAAAAATCATAATCTTTGCATATTTACTTCTGTTTTTTTCTGGATTTAATTAGGCAGTGATTTATAGCGTATTATGTCGTAAGGGACGACTCGGGGAATGAACCAAGGGGTTTTCACTTAAAATACATAGATATATTTGAATTAAAAAATTGGCTACAAATATATCGCATAATTATGAATTTTATTACGATATTATGCACTTATATTATGCACTATATATTATGCACTTATTGATGCTTAGACGTTCAGGACCACTTGGTGGCTTCAGCCACAAGAGAGCTTCTTTATGTGATCATGAGTCAATATACGATCATAATTGCGTTACTATAATAGTATAAGGACAGAAGATCGTAGGATCTCAAGATGTAAAATGTATGATCGTAAGTATTGCACACATCACTCTCTTGTTGCACAATATTAAATGCAAAAATGTATCCGCATTCATACTGAATCTCTTTCTTCCATACACCGGTACTCATGATATCCGAACGAAATGAAATAAATTAGGAATTTAAATAAACTCCTTAATCATTGTCAATGATGATTCACGCGATTGGCAACATGAACCAGATTCAACCAGTCTTTCGTAGCTGGAACATGTATGTATACGCGTGATAAAATTTATGTGGGATCACACATACTATACTCGGCTATCAATTCAATTAATCGTTTCGTTTACCAAACCAATGGTATTTTCGAGTGAGGAAGCAAGAGTATCTCACGCATAATACAAACATACAATGTCAAGACATACTCATCCCAATCGAAGCATCATTCGCTTTACATCGTCTCACTTTGTACATATATACTGAACTTATAAATATTCACAAACAGACATTCATTTGCCTCCTATGCCGTTGTATACTCGATTTACTGGACTTTGATGCAGCAATTTCTTTATGTCTGAAAAAGTAAGACAAAATTGTTACAATATATGTTGACAGTTCGCGGAACGTCGCAAACTAATACCGCGCAACCGTCTCACTCACCTTCCTTTTCTTCGTCCGTAAATTCGTTATCGGGGAATGCAACATCGAAAGAAACGAACAAAGTACCGTGGAGATTGTTATTATCATAATTAGGCATCCCTTCGCCCTTTTTCCGTATACGAGCGCCATGTTTAGTGATCTTGTCTCTTTGAATAGTTACTACATGGCCGTCCAGATGTTTGATGTCCACAGAAAAACCTAGCAGCGCGTCTTGCAAGGAAATAGTAATATTTGTGTATAAATCGTCGCCTCTTCTTTCAAAAACAGCATGAGGTAGAGTACGTATCCTATAACAGATAATTTGTGTTGTAAGCAGACAAGTGCATTATTATTATATAATTCTTATAAATCACATTATAAATATAGAGAAGAATATCTGCTCACTTTAATATCAAATCGCCCGGCTCTCCGTCGATGTGAGGCTCTCCTTCCGCTGTAAATTTGGTTTCTTGGCCATCTACCATGCCTGGTTCAATTTCTACCTCCAGCACGCGATCCTCATTCACTAATTTGACATTTGGACATTCCGAGCACACCGACTGCTGCATCATCTGGAATCTTCCATTTCCTAAATTGCGAGTGACTAATTCTTGCCTACAATTGCATTTTCTTGTCCCTTTCGCTGCTTTCACAACTAGCTTATTTCTGGTAATCTGTAATATAAAGTAACAAAGTGACGTATAGAATAAGAGAACAATGGAGAAATAATTTACATATTGAGTCTCTGTAGTGAAAACTATACCTCAATAAAATTTCCACTGTACAATTCTTCTAAGGTGACAGGTAAGTCCATTACAGTATTCGCACCTCTAGGAGTTTCATGTTGATGGTGAGATTCTCCACCAAAGTGGAAACTAAAGTCACCAAAGAAACTTGCGAATGGATCGACATTATTGTTCATCATGCCATCCCTTTTCAAACATTCCTCTCCACACCGATCATACATTTCTCTCTTTTCAGAATCTGACAGTACTTCGTAGGCTGCTCCCAAGTCTTGAAATTTTCGAGAGGCATCTGGATCATCCTTATTTTTATCGGGATGCAATTCTTTCGCTAATTGCCTATAAGCCTTTTTTATCGCGTGTGTGCTGGCACTACGTGATAAACCTAAGATGTTGTAAAAATCTCTCCTGCAAAAGAAAACGAATAATATGGTAGAATCTATGGTAAAATCTATGGTAAAGTCTATGGTAAAATCTGTGGTAAAATCTGTGGTAAAATCTGTGGTAAAATCTATGGTAAAATCTATGACAAAATCTATTGTCTAATGAGGATTTCATCATATTGATAATATAAATAACAACTATATAAGATGTATTAATTTTTGAAATCAAGCAAAATTACAAGGTTAAAAAGACTCCCTGCAGATCTATATATGATAATAAATTTAGGAAAAATCAAATCATATAATTCTGAAATGTATAAAATTAACTGATAAGTAGGGAAGGACGTAGTAGGTTATGAAATTAACTGCTTACAAATCGTTTTGAACAAACTAATACTTGAAATACATCGGAAGTAAATGTTATTTTCACTCACCCAGCTATCGACAATACAATACATGTTGATAAATTTATAAATAACAGCCAATTTAACTTTAAACCTTCCATCCTAGCAGACGTTACACAAACATCTGAGCACACCATCGGAGCTTAAATCGTGGGAGTTTCTCATTGGTCACAGAGGAGTAGCTTAATGTAATTTTCAAGAACGACAAATATGCTCAGAGCATTATCGTATGTGAGCGTCAATTTCTTTTAATTTGATAAAGATTGGTAAACAGATCGAACGAACCAACTCGTTTTTAAAAAGGTGTAAATGAATCCGATTGTAAGTTTATACGTGTATAATCAAAATAATACGAAAATATTTATAAAAGTGACGTATAATAAATCTATCGCAATTGTGATCGAATTTTAACCCTGACCCGACTCATCTAGTGACAAAGTAGCCCTACATCCGTTTCACATTGCACAATTATATTTATTTAACGATTTCTACAATCCTGTACGTTTTCTCCTCCGTCTTTCTTTGATACTACACCTACGACAATAAACTGGATTAGTTGAAAAGAGAGAGAGAGAGAGAGGGATAGAGAGATACTCAAAGATTACGTCCTATCTCCGTCACACAATTTTACGTTCGCTGCATGAAATTTGTACGACTGGCCAGTTCTGGGTACTTGCGTTGTCTATGCCGCGATATGCTCCGCGATTCAAAGTGGACCGCAGCCTGAGACACTTCGGAGAATCAAGCGGACCGGATCCCGAGAGTATCATCTAACAGCTGATACGAACTGATATAAGTCACACACTATCAGCCGATAATTCTTACCGGACGTTAGTCATAGTCGAAAGATCAAGTAGTTTCGATCATGTTAACGTGTAAATCTGCCGTGTTGCATTTCCGGAAATACTCAACGGAGAGAACGTTATCGCGAGTAACATGACACGAAGGGACGGTGTCGGGCGCGCTGCTGAATAAGGATTTGCGAAAGGGATTTTTGTAGGTTATGCGAGGGTCTTCGACTGTCAAAGCTCGAACGGCAAAATGGAGAGGCACATGCATTTATGGAGGGACGCTGACAAATTGTCCTTTACATTCGGCGACAAGCCGAACGGCGTTATCTGCAAGCTCGTTACCATTAAGGATCACATTTTTGTAGCTACTACAACCAGTAATCTGTACCACGGCGAGGTGTCCTTCCAAAATGACACTTGCTCCGTGATTACCTTCAGAAGGGCTCAATTCGATGTCATTGACGTAGCATCCAATTCCGAGCATTTGTTCATTGTAAATACCAATGGACATGTTTTGAAAGTAAATCCTCAGGACATGAGCGTTGTAGATACGATAATTCTTAAGGAAGAGGTGAAATATTGTAGCCACGGGTACGTATGTCAGGGTATAATTAAAATATAGCCTGTTGCTCTACGATTCTTCCCTTGTATCTTAAGATTTATCGTTAACAAGTGAAATAAGTACGTAGAATTTACTTAGCATGTTTTATCTTACGTATTTGCAGTTTATCAGAAGCGCTATTACAGAGGTAATATTTCACTTCCGCAGGTTTAAGGAAGAAAATGAAATAGTGAAAGTCAAATCTGTAGCGGTTAGTGATCAGGCAGCGTTATTCGTTACGGAGAACGGGCAGCTCTGGGCTAGCGGTGGTCAGCCACAAATAGATGTAAATAGTATGGAACCAAAGAAAGTTCGATTCTTCGAGGGCAGGACGGTGTCCGAGGTGGCTTGTGGCTCGAACTTTAATGCGGTCACCGTGAGGAAAACCACCAAGCTTATAAAAGACGATACCGATAGCGAGAACGATCTGGAGGAAGAGGTTTTCGTTCATTCCTGCCCGCAGTGTCTGAACAGCGTTATGCTGAGCCCCGGTAGTGTAACATCATCGGACACGTGTCCCACCGGTCTCCACGCTCAGCAATTTAGCGAGGATCGTTCCACCAATTCCATCAGCGCTCTGTCCACTGCCAGTAAAGAACACATCCCCCTGCCGGAGATGGACAAGAAGGAGCATCCCTCCGACATCGTCGAGAACGGCGGGGAATGCCTGAACGAGGTGGCGGATTGCGAGAAGGATGAGAAGAAGAACATGATATTCATCAACACCGAGACCGCCCGGCAGTTCTTGACCAGACAGCTGTCGTGGGTCTCGTCTTACGGTAGCGCCAAGGAGGACATACCGATGGAAAGTGTCGATCGGCCGACAAGATTGATCAAGCAAAATGTATCGAATATGGCGAACTTGGTGTACGAGGGGGTGAAGAATGTCGGCGGTAAGGTTGTCACTCTGTCGAGGCACATGAGCGGGAGTTCCGACATTAACGAGTCGAAGGCCGACAGCAACGAGAACTTGGAGGAGCAGGGTAACAGTTACACGAAACCGACCGCTAGCAGTTTGGCGCTGAGCCTGCGCTGCGAGGAATTCCCCTGGTCGTCGAGTACCGGCTCCTCCGAGCACGAGCTGTCGCAGCAGGGCCTGAACGAGAGGATCAACGCGTTGTCCCGCACCGGCAGCAACATATTGGCGACGGAACTCTGGACGTGGGGCGACGTGCAGTACGGCCAGTTGGGAACGGGCGACATCATTAAACGGCCGAGGCCGGTGCTGGTGGCGAAGCTCAGTCACACCGGCATCCGAAAGATATCGTGCGGCACCTTCCACGTGCTCGCCTTGACGCTGGACGGCCGGGTCTTCGCGTGGGGCCGTAACAACTTCAAACAGGTGACCCTGCAAACTACGGTCGATCAGAGCGCTCCCCAGCTCTTCACCACCAGGTTGATGTCTAACGAGAGGGCCATCGACATGGCGGCCGGCAATTTCCACACTCTGGTGATGATGCATCATGGTTTATATTTTATCGGACAGTCGAGGTAAATTGGTCAAACAGAAATCTCTCTCTCTCTCTCTCTCTCTTCTGATTAGTGATTTCATAAACAAACGCCTTATAATTGTTTTCCCAGCAAAACCGGGGATATGTTTCATTTGGATGTACAAACCAAGGAGGAGTCGAACAGCCCGAGAGAGATATTCAGTTCCGGCCGGTACAGTTGTTGTTCCGTGATAAACGAGCCGGCCATCAACGTATCGGAGGACCTGGTGAACGACCAGATCTTTCTGGAGGAGATGCTGACCGTTTATCAGAATCTGATCAGGCCGTTCCAAAAGAAGAGCGGCGCCACCCAGGAAGCGAACGTGTACGAAACACTGTGCCGTTGTTACGCGGAGCTGATGCACTTCAGTGTCTTAAACGTCATAAGCTTATGGGATTACTTCAACCACATCGGGGAGGCGTACGAGGTCGCAATTGTTGCCAACATAGAAGAATTTATCGCGGTGTATAAATATTACTTAAACGCCGTCTGCGATGCCATGTCCCTCGGTGGTTTCACGCATATTGCGAAACTCATCGAGGTGCCACAAGTAGTGTCGAATTTATTCATAGACAATCCGCGAGGTGGCGATGTGAAAAGGAGTAACAATGAGATCGTCGTGACAATGGCGTTGCAACATCCTCTGTGTAAACTAAACAGGTAAATCGATCGCGTTGCGCCAATGTAATGTCAGCTCTCCCCTCAGAGAGATGTGTAAAATTTCATTTCTTCGTGACCAAAAAATGCCATTTGTCGTGCACAGGTACAAAAATATGATACATAATTTAATAAAGAGCAACGGCACGAGGATGGGTGTTGAGCGATTGCAAGAGGCCCTCGTCAAGTGGGAGCAGGTGCACGATGAGCAGGAGAAGCGTCAAAAGGAGGCAGAAGCTACGAAGTTGTTCTGGGAGAGTTCCGGCAAGTTGGGAGAACTGTTGAGATCCCCCGACAGGAGGCTGATCAGAGAATCGAGAACGTACCCGATATCGATACTCAATTCTGGTAGATTTTCGTCCCACTGGTTTGTCCTGTTGACAGACATCTTCATCCACGTCACCGGCACCACGCACACGGTGCACCCGCTCCGTACGTTATGGGTGGATCCCTTGCCGGACTCCGAGAGTGTACAGGTACACGCTTCTATTTATACCCTGATTCATCTCGATACTTTAATCGCTGCGAGAGAAAGAACCGATATGATGGGCGATATGATTAAGAATAGATTTTCGTTTCTCCTTTAGAACGCTATATCGATTGTTGCGCCGGAAGACAATTTCGTATTGTATACTCCTACCCCTTCTGAACGTAATGAGTGGTTGCATGCTCTGCAAAATACTATAAAGTGCAGTTTGCAAAGAGTGATCGGGAATGTACCTCCATTAGCGCGGTCGAGCTCGTTCTTTTTCACAAAACATAATATTTTTAAGGACGCAACGTATACTGGTTCGTAAAGTGACATATTGAAAAGTTTATTACTTATTTTTATTTATTACGTATATTATATATATATGTGTGTGTGTGTATTGCGCATGTTTTTGTACGATTTAGTTTACAACGAATACTATTTCTCTCTCTCTCTCTCTCTCTCTCTCTCCCTCTCTGTTTGTTTCTGTCTATTAATCAACGTGCAACGAATTTATAGGACGATGGCTAAATGGCAAGCCGCATGGCTCTGGAAAGTTAGAATGGTCTGACGGTCGTACGTACGTAGGGCAGTTTCACAAGGGTGTTATTCATGGTACTGGCAAGATGGAGATTCCTGTGCAGGGCGTGTACGAAGGCCAATGGAAGGATGGCCAGCAAAACGGATACGGGACTATGAAGTGAGATTAATTTACTGAAAGAATGTTGATGTACATATGTAATCAAATACCTCATCAAATATGAGGTGTAGAAACTGTCGTCTGCGATGTATTTCTGGTTCTTTCAAGTAATCGAAGAAATATTGCATAACACGATGGTATACTTTAGGTACGTCAACGGGGATTTTTACGAAGGTTACTTTAAAGACGGCTTGCCTCATGGACACGGTGTCAAGAAGGAAGGCCACTTTATGGCATCGATCGCGTCGGTTTACATTGGAGAGTGGGCTGCCGGTGTTAAACAAGGTTACGGAATAATGGATGATATTATGACAGGTGCGCGAATACACTTGTCTAAATTTGCGCTACAGAGAAAAAAATTATTCCAGCAATAAAGCGTGATGATAGTTCGACATGAGCTCTCCCGTGGACTCGTAGTATCAAGGTTATGCGTTTACGGTTGAATGATGTTACAGGCGAAAAATATCTCGGGTCATGGAGCAACGGGATGAAACATGGTTGCGGTTTAATCGTGACACTCGATGGCATTTATTACGAAGGTGTTTTTACGCAAGACGTCTTGACGGTATATCAGCGATTATTTCGAACGTCAGAATAATACGCGTGGCTTGCATAAATCCGATTGATTCCGTACGGAGGCCGATGTTACCATGCAATATTACCTGCTGACAGGGTCACGGAGTCATGGTATTCGAAGATGGCACACATTACGAGGGCGAGTTCAAGTCCGCCGGTATATTTTACGGGAAAGGTACTTTGACATTCCGAAGTGGCGAGAGGCTGGAGGGTAATATGAACGGTGCTTGGAACGAAGGTGTCAAAGTTATCGCCACGTTGCACATGAACAAGAGCGGTGGGAGTGCGCAACCCAATACAAAGCCGGCGTAAGTTCTCTCGTATGAAGTATCATGCCGGTAATTCGTAATAAGTTGAACTCTTTCGAAGGACTTACCGATCAACGGTGTATTATGTAGTATATAGATAAACGATTTACCTGTATTCTTACTCACCCTTTGGACCAGATCTTTCGGCAAACTGTGCGTATCCCCGGATCAAAAGTGGAAGGCGATATTTAAACAGTGCTATCAGCAGCTCGGCGTGTCCGAGTCAGTGGTGAAAAATTACAATTGCGACAGATCGATCGACACGCAGAGAGCGTGGCAAAACGTCGCCAGTATAATAACGAAGTCCCATCAGAGGACGCTGCAACGGAAGAAGCTCTCGGCGAACGCGTCGAACGCGAAGGAGAGGAACAGCGAGACGATCGATCACCTGGACAAGATCCCGTGCTTCGGACGTAACACATTCAGCAGTCAGATTTACAATAAGGTGCACAAGTATCTAGTGAAGGCTTTCGAAAGCCCGCATCATCCATTAGGCGCTCTTCTGACCGAAGTGGCCGCGGTATACACAGCTACGTATGGCGGTGTGAGAGTGCACCCGCTGTTACTCAGTCATGCAGTATCGGAGCTTCACAGCATCACAACGAGGATATATGAGATCGTGCTTCTTTTGTTCCCGGATCTACCAAGTTGTGGCACAGAGTTTATTTTCGACATTGACGGCAAGGAAGAAGAGGAGTACGTATCTCACAAATCCGTCAAATCGCGAAATCTCCCCCAGGCATGGGGGCGGTGTTAACTGTCGAAAATAGCGAGAAAAGTAAGTTTTTTTTTTTTTTCCGGAGAATCTACTTGTTTGCTTTTTTGGGACGGTTTTTTCTTAATAACTCGTTTTGGGTTGATGGACAAACGAGAATTATGGATGGACAGATTCGTGGATAAACGATTCTACTACGTAATTTGAAAAAAAAAAAAAGAACACAATCAGTCGCACTCATGCCGTTCAGTGTTTTCTTGACAAAGCAGTTTAAAAATAAAATTACTGTTCTTTATTTTACATTGTGTCGTCGGAGTGATTGTTTCTTTCTATTTTCTTTGAATTTTTTATCTTTAAAAAAGCTAGTTATAGAACGTGATTTCTAGTGATCGAGTTTGTTTTTTAAAGGCTCAGGTTGAGGTAAAAAAAAAAGGTGAGGAAAAGTGAGAAAAGTGAGTCGCTCCCATGCCTGTCTACCTTATATTTGTACAACTACGCTATCGATTTTTGGTATTACCTAAAGAAATCCTTCACTTTCAGGCAAGTTATAAGCGCTGCCGCGATACTTCATCCGATATTACTGCCACGTGTACACTCAGCACTCTTTGTATTATATGCCTTACACAATAAGAAAGAAGACGATGCATACTGGGAGAGATTAATGAAATGGAACAAGCAACCTGATATAACTCTAATGGCCTTTCTCGAAATTGATCAGTAAGTAAATCCAGTAACGGTGGTGCGCGTTTTCGGATCGTATTTGTATTCAGAGTTAGACATTGTTTGCACTTTTATTTGTATTTCGACGAAATTGCAGGAAATTCTGGAAAACTACAAGCGTAATGAACATCGCAGATAACTCATTGCCGTATCAACACGAGCCATACTTCAGCGACGCTATAGAAACTTTGCAGCAACTTAAAACAACCTTTACATCTTTAGAGAAGTTATTAGTGGTCAGAAGTACATTTGAACAAATGACACAAGTAAGAATATGCTGCAGACGTTGCCGTTGATATTGTATCGTTCTCAACAAACATACCCAAAGTGATCGCTCACATCTCCTCATTTTCGTTTGTTCAGGCAGTACAAAAGCAGTTAGGGTCTACGTATTTATGGACGATGGATGAACTGTTCCCGGTGTTCAGTTTTGTTGTAGTGCGCGCTAGTGTGTTACAATTAGGGAGCGAAATACACTTTATCGAGGATTTCATGGAGCCGTATTCGCAAAGTGGCGAACTTGGTATCATGTTCACTACTCTTAAGGTCAATAGATATAAAGATTAAAGTATATGTAGAAAACGAGATCTGTATATATATATATATATATATATATATATATATACAGATCTCGTTTTCTACATATACTTTAATCTTTATATCTATTGACCTTAAGAGTAGTGAACATGATACCAAGTTCGCCACTTTGCGAATACGGCTNTATATATATATATATATATATATGTGTGTGTGTGTGTTTCTAATGGGCAAAACTAATTTTGTTACAGGCATGTTATTACCAGATATTGCAGGAGAAAACAAATATAGGCGATTGAAATTACAAATATATGGTACAATAAAGTGACAAGATTAGACACACGGATAAAAAATATATATATGCGTAAAAATAATATCAAACTCGAGAGATAATGTGGTAAGATAAATATGGATACACGGATAAAAAGATATTCTGGTAGAGGGGTTTTAGCTTGAATCCGTTAGTCTCGGGTTGTTAGATCACAAATGTTTCGCAAAGTACATTTTCACATTTCTGAGTTTGCACACATAGGCTTATTTTCATCAAAGGCTTATTATCACATCACGCAAGAAAATGTACGAAAGTGATAAACTGCATTTACGACATACAATAGGGTCTTTAATATCTTAACTACATAAATATGTAGTAAGACAAAACAAAAGATTGATGTGACATATCAATTCATTAAAAACAATTCGTCATTGTAAATTTTGCACGAAAATTTATTATTAAGCGATATTTGTCTGTCGTTAATCAGTTTCGTGTCCTGGAAATGAGAAATGTTTGTGTGAGTTACACGTAGGGGTCGGATTTTAGTACTTCCAACTACCTATTGTCCAAGAATGCGTGCGTTAAATAATATATAAAGTTAAAGTATATAAAGTAACGATATATAAAAATTGCATAGCTCAATTTACAAAAAGATACTAAAAGTTACCTTCTTCCACGCATACCTGAATTAGAGATTAGCTGTAAAAATTATACATTATAGTGATCATTATTAATTTATATCGATAGAAATAATTATCGATATTTCGTGCGCATTTTTAGAGATTTTTTCCTTTATCATATCTCATCTCTGTTGTTCATATTATTTTGTTTTATGTAAGAGACATTATAAAATATATATCATAAAGCCTGCCTTTAGGTAAAATACATTTATAGTAATAATTTTTTCTGTCAGAAATACAATGCAGATATAAAAGACATCTGTAGAATATTTTTTAAATGACGATATAAAGAATCATAAAGATATGTAAAGATTTTTTTTACAGTTTATGCGTACATTTTTCTTCTACGTAACTTACACATATAATAAGACATATTTATTTATTTACATAAATTAGCTTATTAATTAACTTCACCTATTGCATTTCTTGAAATTTGTTTATTACAGTTGACTTCAAAATTATATCTTCAGTACACATTACAGTATTGTTGTTGCATAAATACAATTGATCATCTCATAAATACAATATTGCAAGAAAGGACAAAATGTGAGAGAAACATAACATATATATTATAAGGGATATGAGAAAGACAGTATATACGAATTAATTAATGTTGAAATTTAAGTTACATAAGCTACGTAAAACATTAGATTACATCAGACTTGTTGGAGTTGCTTTATTGCTTTCTTAAAACAACACACATATATGCATATGTTCTTCGAAAAATGGATGTTTATTATATTTTACTCTTATTTCATCTGTGTACAGGAATTTACACACATGTGATATTAATTAAAGAAAACCTCTACTACCAACTAGCATGTACCTGAAACGTATTCTTTGTATTAGCTCAGAGAAGAGCTCGCTCTTATTACACGATTCTACACATATTTTAAAAATATATACAAATATTTATTCACGATATACTCGCGTGCGTTTTAAATCTGTAACTGAAGTATTTTTTTAATCGAAAAACCGTATGATCAAATTACTCTGTTCTCTTTGTTTTATCAAGTACAAAGAACATATGAGATCATTATATACATAGAGTATTTAATCGAGATTTTATCGACATAAATTGTTGCATGTCTATTTCTGCAAAAGTCATGGGCTCTGTCGAGTTAATATACATTACGGATCTACAATAATTGCTTACAATATCCTACATCTACGCATTTCTCATAGTATGTTTAGTATTACAATTATAATTAACATAAATCAAATCGTTGACGTCAAATCATAACATAAGAGATCAGCCAAATATTTTACATTGTATATATCGTTTGAGAGCGTTTTCATCGCATTCGATTGGAATATTTTAGATGAAATTTTATCAGATATCAATCAATTTTAAACATATTTATTTATTTCTTTAGTTCGACGCAAATTCAAGAAGTTGCACCACATAGAGCCTATTCTTTGTCACTGAACTAGTGTGTACACTTTCGGAACTTAAAACGAAACCGATGTATAGCTGTGGCTTCGTGTAAAGAAGAGGGAAATAGAAGTAGTGCAGCAGGTTCAGCTATAAAGAACAGGCCTGTGATTATCACCACGATTATTGCCATGCATGTTATTTACTTGCATGGTGATACTTAAAATAATGTATATGTGTAACAGGATATTAATTATACACTATATAAATATCATATGTAACAAATAAGATTATCGAAGATGGAGATAGTATACTGCGGATATGCAGATACTTTTATTTATAAACCAAGAATTATGAAAAGAGTAGTTTCAACTGATATACTTGTAACATGTATAATTAAGATTTCTTCAAACCGGAGATTTATATAACTTAATGATATATTAAGTAAATTGCATTTTCTAAGTGCGAGGCAACATGTATGGGAGGGGAGAGGGGGGGGTGGTTGAAGAGCTACTGAGAGTTGTAAAAAAGATTACATTACTCACATAAAGAATAAGGATTTATGAGATGATAAAAGAAAATCTATGCATTGTTGATGTACACGCGTGTACAAAAGTGAAGTTAGACATTAATCGATGAGACCGTATAATTACATAGGTTAAAATCCAATTTACTTTCCAATGTCTTCTTTTTATAACGCATAATTCTTCAAACAATAGCACTACATGTATTGCGTATTTTTAAATAATCAATATTCCATTATTTGTAACGTGAAGTAAAAATATATTATTGTAATATGTCTTGATATATATATATATATATATATATATCTTGATATATATATATTGTTTATTCATAATTATTGTAAATACATGAAGAAGTTAAAAGTTAATGGAAGCAGTACAATAAAGATAATTTATTTATAAACGTGATTGTGAGAAACGGCGTCTTGAAAAATATATTCTGCTGTCACTGAAATATCTGTATAATTACATTGTCCTAATCAGAATGCATGCTCCTTTCTATTCACGTAAATTTCTTATTAATGATTAGACTGAAAATTATATATATTTTACATATTTGTGTATACTACATTATTATATATATATATATACAGGTAAAGTAAAAAGTTCTGAGCGTTTTTTCGCTTTATTTCGACGATGAAATTAACATAGTTAGGATTATCCGATTTCGATCAAATATGCGCCGT